GAGTTTTCAGAAGTTGTAATGAAGCGGTTTGGCCACCAGGGGGAGACAAACCCCGCCTCGGGGGGCGGAGCCGGGGGGAGCTGTCCTTTCAGCACCACAGCCCCGCGCTCCTCTCCGTCCTGAAGCAGCACACGACCCAGTGGGATCAGGGATGGATGCTGATATCCGAGAGTTCAACACGAGAACGTGCTCAAAATCTGTACCTGGGTCTCAACCAGGCTCTGTCCCTCCAGAACCGGCCAGTTTAGACCAAAATATCCATTAAATCTCACCTTCTCAACACACGATGAGATTAAGGAGGGCAGACGTTATCAATTTAGGGGGGGGGGCACTCCGAGGAGGAGGGAAGGAGACGCTGCAACAATTGGATCAGTCAATAATTATGAGCCATAAATGCGCAAATCTCAGCCTCTGCGCACGGGCGCAATCCAGAAACTGCCCGTTAAAGACAAACCGAGCGAGGCGCAGTTCACCGTCCCCTCCACTCCCTCCTCTCCCCAGCCCATCAGCCACTCACACAAACGGCATTAAAAATCTTTATTATCTTTCCAGCGGCGAACCACACTGCTGCAGCGCCCAACACACACACAGTCACACGCACAGTCACACGCACGCACACACAGTCACACACATGTACTGTGGGGCCTTTAAACGTCGCCAGAGACGAAGACGATGAAGAGGAAAATTAAGCTGTGGAACTAAGAGCAGCATCTCTCTAAACGCACGTCGCTCAGGGTTCGCGGACAGAGGCTGGACACGGACACGGACACGGACACATCGTGACAACACCAGAGCTGTCCGCGGATCTGGGAGGACTCGCTCTCCTGATTGTGTAATAAGGACTTCTTTTCCTTTTTTTTTTTTCTTCCCTTCCTGCAAAGAGGCTCAACCTGCATCCGAGAGCGCAGGGAGAGAGGAAGGAGCAGAGGAAGAGGAGGAGGAGGGGACACCAACAAGGGGGGCATTTGCAACGTTCATCCGATTTCATTTTTTCTTCCCTATTACATGGCGCGAGGGCTACTATGCAAACGGGACCGTCCTGGGTGTGATTCCGCCGCGGTGAATCTGGATACTGGAGCAGGATCAGCATCAGCACCGTCCTCCTCCTCCGGCGCCCACACCGACTCCCCGTCCTCCTCCTGCCCGCTCTATGTCGAGTGATGGTCGGCTTGCCTGGCCGGATGCTCCCCGCTCTCTCCGGATCGTCGACGACCGAACCTCCTCTGACCGCAGACCCTCATTTTCGGCGGAAACCCTCCCAGAGCTATAGGGCTACATATGGAAACTGGGGATCGGAATTTTAGGAAAAAAGGAAAAATCTAAGCTGTTGATTTTCATTTTTTTTCTGAATTCTTTATTAGGCGCTTTCTGTCTTTTTTTTTTTTTCGAGGAGATTTCTCCACCTGCTAAGTGATTCTTTTAATCGTTGAGCCTTGATTTCCTCATTCCGCCAGATTGTTTTGCGAGAAAACCAGCGATAAGATTCTCTTTTAATCTCACATAGGCTGTATGAAAACACCAGGGAATTGCTTTTATTTCCTAGCTGCAGGACTTGAATCGGTCCATTTGTTTACTCACTTCTGTTAGGATGATATAAACCCCTTCTGCATTTCGTTTCCCTTATAACGCCAGGCTTTTTTCCTCTTTTTAACTAATCAAATCCTCCGGAATAATAGCAACCTGATACTACTCGTCTCTAGACTAGCCTTGGAAATAGCTATACTCCCGGATTCTTCCTCGTAAACGCAGCGTTATAACCTCTGACTATAAAGTAATTAGGCATATTGAAGTGTTTTACTGTGAGCCTGCCATTATTCTAACACCGCTCCTCCTTGAGCCACCTCTTCGCTCTGTGAACAGCTCTAACCTTTAACGAACAGGTTGTTTTAGAGAGTAAACCCCAAGTCCAGCCCCCGCTGGCTTTTGTCCCCGACAGCTCCGCGTTTAAAAACTCCCATCCGTGGCTTCCTGGGATTGCAGGTTGTGGGCCACATCTGCAGCTCCAGGCCCGCCATCCTCCGCATCCCTGCGCCCTCCTCACACCTGGGAGAAAAAAAGCAAAGCATAGGCACAGAAAGGGGAGTGACATTCCTGTCTCTTCCCCTTTCCCCCTCCAAAAAAAAACTCAGTTTTTTTTCTCTTGTTGTGGTCCTCACCCAAACGCAACCATAAGGTTCCTACCGCATCCTCCTTCTCCTTCTTCCCTCTCCTTCCGCTCGAGTAT